GCAGGGCTGTTTTTCCTGTGAAAATTCAAAGCCAGCAGCTTAACAATCAACATTTTGATGGAGTCTGCTCATTACACTTGTTACTGAGTAGCAAGTCTATTTCTTCCCTGCACTTACTGAAATTTAATCTGCTGATGAATCCACAATAGCCAAATGGCCCAATAAAATGCCCTACATAGGGTTCTCCATTGTTGTCTGGAATGGAGGGTGAAACTAAACATATCTAGTCAGATCTAAGGATATTTAGTTCAAAAATTAATGTGGCTTGTGTTGGGATCAACCTATTTTTACCTCACACAGCAGCACTAAATATGTTGAGATCAATATATTAGGTCTCACCAAGGGGCACCAAATATGTAGGGGTTTAATTGGCTATCGGAAATAATTAATAATTATTAATAATAATTAATAATTATGTTAAAGGGCCAGTGTGTAAAATGGGTTGAAAACAGTGACATCAGTGGTCAAATTCTAGATTGCAGGGCTCACTCGCTCACCCCTCCCATTGGGTAAATGACGGTGGCCTCGTAGGGACAAAAAGCCTTGCGCAGACATGAGTTTTTCAGGAGTAGGTTTATCTAGCGACGAGGTAAATGTTTATTTAGAAATCGAAACCATGTTACGATATTGTAATGGATCCCTCACGAGCAGGAGACCAGAGTAGCATTTGGGAAAAAGGCCAGTTTATTTGAGCACTCCAAAAACTCCGGTAATACTCCAGGGGGTAAAAGACTCCGTCCCAAACTCTGAGTCTTCTAGCGTAACACACACAGTTCATACACACATACTTGTTTACAGTACCTAGTGGGTACCCGCTCTCCTCTCTGCTCCACCAATCTCCAGCCCGCACACTGACTGACAGCGTAGCCTGTAAACAGAGCTCAGCTGTTTATTTAGCCTAGCAATATTTCCTGACTATAGTAGCTGCAATGGACGACTTTGAACGCGATTTTGAAGAGTTTCTTGTAGCGGACACAGATCCAGAGCCATACCTGTTTGAGCCGGAGCATACAGATGAGGAACTTGGATGCTGAGCGGGCGAGAAGAGAGGCTGAATCCTCTGCTCCCATTTTGCTGCACATAATGGGATTCAGTGCTACCATCGTTGGGAAGATATATCATCAAGAGGAAAAGCGCCACAGAGAGTGCATCACAAGCCATGATTGGACGAGGAGCCCTCGTCCAATCATGGGCGAGTTCATTGTTATATGGAAGAACTCGTGAGACGAGCTCGTATGTTTATGATATAAACAGGCACGGTGTACCTATGAAGCTCTGTGATATAAACACGGTGTGTAGTCAGTTGAAAGATGGAAGTCCCAAGACTGAAGAAAAGACCTCGGTGCCTCTGTGAACATTGCAACACTGGACTCTGTCATACACAGTATTTTGACCACAGAAAGCGCCATTTCAAAAATGAAGTTTGGGAGAAAAAATCCAAAAGGTCACTGTAGTCATGCCACTATGCACATTGGTTGACCTCTAGGAGACTGTGATGTTGTTTGCATGGAATGCACATTTAACCTTTGTGGCAAAGCCTGATTAAAACTAATTGTTGAAACAAATTGTTTTGTGTATCTTTTTTACATAACATTGGCCATTGCTAATGACATACACAGTAATTAATCTAGCATACTTTCACTAAATAAATCAATTCAAGCTAAAATTTAAGGGTGCATAATTAGGCTATATTGAGCCTGATCTATTTATACCAGAGATTTTCTAATGAAGTTAATACCTTTTACAAAAATGTCACCTGGGGTAAAACTCCCCCTGCTACCCTGATTTGCATTTGTATAGCTCACAGTATTTTCATTTACATGTTAAAGCCTCCCCTAGAATTAGGGGGAGGGGGGTCATGGGGGGACAACTGCCAAGCAAGGCCGACGTCAATTTCGGACAATTCATGGCAGTTTTCGGTGTTGCCTGCAAATTGCCGTGTGCAGTCGTAAACCTGAACTTCTACGACAATCTACAGTGCCGCTTACTGACGAAAATCTCACTTTTCATGCAGTGAGGGGAAGCAGTCCACATTCTTCAGCATGGTGTTGTCAACTTTTATGGCAGGCTGAGAAGATGGCTTATTAGGTGGTGGTTTATATAGAACCTGGGTCTTTTTGATGTTAAGGGCCAAGCCCAGGGCTCTATTTGCCTTGGCAAAGGCATTCAGAATGTCCTGGAGGTCTTCTGAGGTGTGCGCTGCAATGGCATTATCATCTGCGCACTGCAGCTCCATGATGGTGGAATGCTTGACCTCACTCTTGGCTTTGAATCTATTAAGGTTGAAGAGCATGGCATCAGTTCTGTAGATAATTGTGATCCCCTGTGGCAGCTCTTGTCCAGTAAGATGTAGTATAACCGCAATGAAGATGGCAAACAGAATGGGTGCAATGATTCACCCCTGTTTAACCACTGTTCAACCACTGCACATACACCGTCACCACCAACCAAAAACCCTGGATGACAAGAGAGGACAGGATCCTGCTGAGGAACAGAAATACCGCCTTCAGGTCTGGTGACGTGGAACTGTACAGTGCTGCCAGGGCAAATCTGAAAAGGGGCATCAGACAGGCCAAGCTAGATTATAAAAATAAAATTGAGGACCATCTCCACAGCAACAACTCGAGGCAGGTGTGGCTGGGGGTCCAAAACATCATGAACTACAAACCCAGACCCAATGCTGTGGATGGCAATGCTGCGCTGGCAGAGGAGTTGAACTACTTCTTCGCCCGCCTCAAACAAAAAATACCAGAAGCGGCTGCATCTCACCAACCAGCCAACAACAGCCACATCTTCACGTTGGGGGAGCATGACGTGAGACACATGCTGAGGACAGAACCCCAGAAAAGCAGCAGGACCTGACGGCGTCACTGGAAGGGTGCTGAAGGACTGTGTAGATCAGCTCACAGACCTGACCCATCTGAAACAGAAGGACAGTTATGCCAGGCTTCTTTTCAATGAACTTTAGCTCAGCATTTAACACAATCATCTCTAACAGACTAACAAAACTAAACAACCTCGGCCTCCCACACTCCATCTGCCTCTGGATCAAGGACTTCCTCAGCGACTGCCCACAGAGATTCAAAGCAGGGCCCCACCTTTCCCCAGCACTCAGCCTCAACACCGGCTCCCCACAGGGATGTGTGCTGAGCCCCCTACTGTACACTCTCTACACAAGACTGCACCCCCACCCACCCATGTAACTCCAATTTGAGATGAGATTGCATACAGCGAGATGAGACTGCATACAGGGATGAGGTGGAAAAACTGTCATCTTGGTGCAGCAACAATAACCTGGTCCTCAACACCACAAAAACCAAAAAAATTAAAGCTGCAAGCAGCGTTGGGCGGGACCTCGCACTCGTGCCTGTTTCAGCCTTCAGCTTATTTCGTCATCGTCAATTATTTAGAAATATCAAACACATTGCCACAAACATCAAAAAATCCTTACAGAGCTGAACGTTTTGATGTTTGAATGCTTTCTGTAGCTGTAGGTATGTATAAGTGATGTCACAATATGCAAATTAGATGAGTGAATTTATTCCCATCAGATTCCTCTTCCTTTATTTTGAGGAAGAGATGACAAAAACAACACAAAACAAAATAAATTTACTGTGTAAATATGTTCAAAATGTTGTTTTACTGAGATGTATGAAATCCAATATGGCTGCCACCTAGTGACACCACAATATGCAAATTAGATAAGTTAATTTACTCCCATGACAAACTTTGGGTCATGATGAATAGTTTTCTCATTTACAGTATGCCTTTATCTCTCACCACTTTCAAGCCACAGCCTTTTGAAATGTTGAAATGAAAATGGAATATTTTCCTCAATAAACTCTGGCACCTAAAGGGTTAAAATGGAGATTGTGCCCCTGTCATGTCTGCATGTAAGATTTAGACACACACACACATCATGTTTCTGTGAGTTTGTGTGTGACAGCGGTTGCCATGGTGATGAAGTAAGTGCACCTGGCAGAAGAGCAGAGAGAGAGAGTGACAGAACACAGAGAGACCTGTTTTAGTGGAGATTTAACTCCTCGAAGAAGTTCTTCCCATTCCCAAACCGCTGGTCCAATCATCAAAATAATGTGATCATGAGAGAGATAAAGTTATACAGAAGATCTGTTTAGCAGCAGTTGAACTGGTATGTGTGCGTCTTTAAAGCCGACACAATAAACGGTGTAGGAGGAGATGTGTTTTTTTTTAAGAGCACGTTTGAGGGGAAATCTTACTTTGAAAGGGCAAATAGCTCACTTCCTGTTGGATTTAGGTCATGGGTGTTAGCGTGTTATTTGTAGGTCGAACACTCCAGTTTTGGTTTGATCTTGATACGACATTCCTACGGGCTGCAGTGGCCAGTTTAGTGCACCTATGTGGCGCTAGAGAGCCCATTTTGGCACTGTAGGGGTTAATAATGTGTGTGTTCTGTTTCAAATGAAGTTTCTGCTGCTGTAATCTGTCCTTTAAAGATTGTGAGACACACAGACCAGAGAACCCTGTGGCTGTGTCTGTGTGTGCAGCCGCTGTCATGGCGATTAATGACTTGCCCGCACCTGTGGCAGACACAGACACGTCAGGAAAGCAGATCACCAAAGGCTGTTTATAAAGGGATTTAACTCCTCGAACAAATGCTTCGCATACCCAAACCGTTGGTCCAAGCAAGAAAATAAAGTGATTTTGAGAGACAGCCACGTCTCGTGAACGCGCGTGTCGCGTTTTATATTGTGATTTGTTTTGCTCTTTTTTCACTTCAAACTGTTTTGTTTAGGTCAAACTACAAACAAAAGGTCCAGATAAAAATCCATTTAAATTACAGGTTGTAATGCAGCAAAATAGGATAAACGCCTGATGCCTGACCATTGCTTGTTTTGCTGATGTAGGGTCCACCCCCCACTTCCCCCATTGGCTTACCCAAATCAGCTAAGTGTCACCTCCCTGTCTTTGCAACTTGCTGTTTGTCTTTGATTTAACTTGTTATTGTATTTCTTGTCTAGGGGAGAAGCCCCTCCAGGTCAGAAAGTGGATGAGCAGGATGATGAAGAGGATGCAGAACAATCCCATCATCGTACCATTATAGACAGGGTATTGGAGAGACATGGAGCCTGTATCCCCCACCATGACCCCAAACTGTATCGTGCTGAAGCCGCCAAAACCATATCTATTCCAGGGTTCAGCATCCTGGCTTTTCCTGATTTCTGGGGTCACCTCTCACCACCAGGACATGAACCCATGGCCCCACGCAAACCCAGCATACAGAGGTACTTCATGCTTAACTGATGGCTGTGTAGGAGTAATGTTGTTCATGTACCATGAACATAGAGATGGGTTTAAGAGATTGGTGGTTGATCCCAGTCCACACGTTGAAACATCCTCGGGCAAGTTACTGAATCCCAAATTGCTCCCGATGGCTATGCAAGTGTGTGTGTGAGTGTGAATGAATGGTTAACTGAGTAGCAGGTGGCATCTAGTGTGGCAGCCTCAACCACCAGTGTATGAATGTGTGCGTGATTGGGTGACTGTGATGTAGTGTAAAAGTGCTTTGAGTGGTCAGAATACAGTTCATTTATAATTTACCATAATGCTGAAAGCATATTGGCTGGTTGTAAGTGGCTGATAAGTTCAGCATTGGTTGTACTTTAAACTTGGTTGCCTTGGTAATGCTTTAACCAGCTGTGGAAGTGTCAGTTTATTTTTTAAATTTGGCTTAATAATGCTTATTGCATTCAAATATCTTTTTATTTCTTGTTGTTCATTTTTGTTTGTCTACATTTTGTCCTCTTTTCTAGTTCACTCAATTGAGACTTCACTGACGAAGACAATTACACATTGCAGTTACTAATTCACTAGCAAGGACCACGCCACAACAATGTCTTTTAACTGTTTAATTGTAATTCAGGAAGTGTCAGTTGTTGAGGAATGCTGAATGGATGTAAGTGGAGGCGAAGAGGGATGTCCTCTCTCAGTGTGGGGAATCCTTGTATCATTCGTTCATTTGTTTTTCAAAATAAAACCAAATATGAAAAAACAGATAATGACTCCTTTTCCGATTTCCGATTTTCTGTTTAAATGGAAAATGGAAAAAACGGATAACAGGCTGGGATTCAGGCCTTTCATACACTTTCAATATTTTCATCTCTCGCACATTGCGTGACCGGAAAGCCAAGTTTGTTTTTGTTTTTTTAAATTATTATTATTAGGGGCCCAGGCCTGCGGGGCTGTGCTGGGAAACCTATTGGGAACCCTATTGTTTTTGTTTGGATTTTTATTATTAGGGTCTGAGCGACGAAGAAGTTGTCCGTAGGACCCTATTGAAATTGCGCTGTTTATTATTATTTATTATTAATATTAGGGCCCGAGCACCTAGCAGTGCGAGGACCCCATTGAAATGCAAGGATTTATTATTATTAGGGTCTGAGTGACAACTGCAAGTCATCCGTAGGACCCTATTGAAATCGAGCTGTTTATTATTAGGGTCCGAACGACGACTGCAAGTCATCTGAAGGACCCTTTTGAAATCGTGCTGTTTATTATTATTATTACGGTCCGAGCGGCGACTGAAAGTCGCCCGTAAGACCCTATTGAAATTGTGCTGTTTATTATTAGGGCCCGAGCGATGACTGTAAGCAGACACATTTCCCAGGGAAACCTATTGTTTTTGTTCAGATTTTTATTAGGGCCCGAGCACTGACCTCGGTGCGAGAACCCTATTGAAATTGAAGGAATTATTATTATTATTACTATTATTATTATCATTATTATTATTAGGGCCCGAGCACCAACCTCAGTGTGAGGACCCTATTGAAATTGAAGGAATTATTAGGAGTCCAAGCCCGCGGGGCCTGGGGAGCGCGTATGCAAGCAGACGCGTTTGCCAGGACCAGCGGTGCTGCAGCAAGGGGAGAGATAGAAACAAACAGCCAATGTGTGTGTGTGTGTGTGTGTTATGTTCAGGTGTTGTCACATAAATAACAGATCCAAGCAATAAACAGGACAGACAATAGGATTTTATTTATTTTTACACTACATTTTCACTGAAAGCTGACTGAATCCGGCCTGAGCCCGAATACAATTTATACATTTTTGACCGAACCCGGCCCGACCCGGCGGGTACCGTCGGACTCGGATCGGGTAGCCACACTCTAGTATGCAAGCAGACGCGCTTCCCAGGACCAGCGTTTTTTTTTTTCCAGATTTTTATTAGGGCCTGAGCACTGACCTCGTTGCGAGGACCCTATTGAAACTGAAGGAATTATTATTAGGGCCCGAGCAGACGTTGCGCCAGACTTTTTCATCGCCAGTCATTTTGATCGACAGGGTCATAAAAATCCGGTCATAATCTATTTTCACCGGTCATTTTAATTTTCATTTTTAAATGATAATAAATATATTCAAAGAAGACATTTAGTTTTCATTCGTTCGTTTTTAATGAATCCAACAAGCAAGTTATAAAGTTTGCATTAATAAGGACATGAACGAAAAGATTAACAGACATCCACACACCCGTGCCATTAGGCTTCGCCCTGGACACACCGGACGGCACTAACGCATCACTAACGCGTCCGGTGTGTCCAGGGCGTTATGTAGTTATGCCTGTAGGCTCGGTGACACAAAATTAAAATTGTAATGAAGTGATTATGGTATTAAAAAATGTGTTCGCTTATGCACCGTTGTGTTATTTTAAATTACAAACACGGTATTTTCTCCTCACATTCCTCAGGGGGCGCTGTTATTTTATTTTTGAAAATTGGCTGGATTCTCTCATCTTTTTTGTGTCTGACTTCCTGTGTGGTACGATCCGCTCAATTCAGCTTGACAGAAGCGCTCGCGGCTCCCGTGAAAAATAGACCAGACGCCGAACTGAAGCGCTGCCTCCGTGGGTGCTCTGCTCTACTCAGCAGCCTGTGGGTATAGTCAGATAGGTTAACATGGGCGCTGACTGAAAACTGCCTCCGCTGCTGGGCGCCGTGCTTCGGTTCTGCATCCGGTGTGTCCAGGGCGTTATGTCAACAACGCTACATGAAGCAGATGAATGACTTTTTCTCTGCAGTACCTACTGTGCACTCCACCGCCAAGTGGGCAGGGGTGGTAATTGCAACCGGTCAAAATGGCCGACAGCCTTCAGATTTTCCGGTCATTGTTGTAAAAAAAAACGGTCACTGACTGAGAATATCTGGTTAACGCGACCCCTGGGCCCGAGTGACGACAAAGTCGTCTGTGTGGACCCTATTGTAATCGTACTGTTTATTATTATTAGGGCCCGAGCACCTAGCGGTGCAAGGACCCTATTGAAATATAAGGATTTATTATTAAATTATTAATAATTATTAATAATGAAGCTACTTTAACCTACATGTATGAAACTTGGTACACATGTGTACCACTCCAGGACCTACAAAAAAGCCTCTTGGAGGCATGCTCTAAACCCAACAGGAAGTCTGCCATTTTGAATTTACTGTGCAATTTTGGTGCATTTTTGGCCATTTCCAGGGGTCATAAATGAACTAACTAGTCCTAGAGATTTTATCTTATTTACTTTAAATCTTGGTCTGTCCCATCCCAAGACTTTGAAGATGAAAAGTTATCAAAAGCTTGAGTTTTCGTCAATGCGTGTGACCGTGGGATGGCGTCAAAGTTAGGGGTCTCACCACTAAACAGAAAGTAGTTTGTAACTCCAGCCAGTCCCGTCCTGAACACATCTACATGTCAATAATTAGAGAAAAATATAGCGCCCCCTACTGGCAACAGGAAATGTCATGTTTTAGTCTTTAATGTACATCTCCTACAGAATTGACCAGATCCACCTCAAACTTGGTGAAAAAAGCCATCAGACGTTGATGACGCTTTATTGCTGAAATTGTGAGTTTCGTCGAAGGGCGTGGCCATGGCCTGGCGGCGAACTTTGATGTTTTCATTACCATATTGCCTGATACTCATAGACATACAGTACAGGCCAAAAGTTTGGACACACCTTCTCATTCAATGCGTTTTCTTTATTTTCATGACTATTTACATTGTAGATTCTCACTGAAGGCATCAAAACTATGAATGAACACATGTGGAGTTATGTACTTAACAAAAAAAGGTGAAATAACTGAAAACATGTTTTATATTCTAGTTTCTTCAAAATAGCCACCCTTTGCTCTGATTACTGCTTTGCACACTCTTGGCATTCTCTCCATGAGCTTCAAGAGGTAGTCACCTGAAATGGTTTCCACTTCACAGGTGTGCCTTATCAGGGTTAATTAGTGGAATTTCTTGCTTTATCAATGGGGTTGGGACCATCAGTTGTGTTGTGCAGAAGTCAGGTTAATACACAGCCGACAGCCCTATTGGACAACTGTTAAAATTCATATTATGGCAAGAACCAATCAGCTAACTAAAGAAAAACGAGTGGCCATCATTACTTTAAGAAATGAAGGTCAGTCAGTCCGGAAAATTGCAAAAACTTTAAATGTGTCCCCAAGTGGAGTCGCAAAAACCATCAAGCGCTACAACGAAACTGGCACACATGAGGACCGACCCAGGAAAGGAAGACCAAGAGTCACCTCTGCTTCTGAGGATAAGTTCATCCGAGTCACCAGCCTCAGAAATCGCAAGTTAACAGCAGCTCAGATCAGAGACCAGATGAATGCCACACAGAGTTCTAGCAGCAGACCCATCTCTAGAACAACTGTTAAGAGGAGACTGCGCCAATCAGGCCTTCATGGTCAAATAGCTGCTAGGAAACCACTGCTAAGGAGAGGCAACAAGCAGAAGAGATTTGTTTGGGCCAAGAAACACAAGGAATGGACATTAGACCAGTGGAAATCTGTGCTTTGGTCTGATGAGTCCAAATTTGAGATCTTTGGTTCCAACCGCCGTGTCTTTGTGAGACGCAGAAAAGGTGAACGGATGGATTCCACATGCCTGGTTCCCACTGTGAAGCATGGAGGAGGAGGTGTGATGGTGTGGGGGTGTTTTGCTGGTGACACTGTTGGGGATTTATTCAAAATTGAAGGCACACTGAACCAGCATGGCTACCACAGCATCCTGCAGCGACATGCCATCCCATCCGGTTTGCGTTTAGTTGGACGATCATTTATTTTTCAACAGGACAATGACCCCAAACACACCTCCAGGCTGTGTAAGGGCTATTTGACCAAGAAGGAGAGTGATGGAGTGCTGCGGCAGATGACCTGGCCTCCACAGTCACCGGACCTGAACCCAATCGAGATGGTTTGGGGTGAGCTGGACCGCAGAGTGAAGGCAAAGGGGCCAA